TTCCTAGTTCTACTGATTTACACAGAAGGGTGATGTGTGTACAGATGAGTGGACATGCAACTACTGTTACAAACGTGCTAGCTCTGAGCTAAAGTGCTAACCACAAACTAACACGCATCATTATGACATAACACTTGAAAAGCACGGGCTAGCCTAGCGTTATTCCTTTTAAATGCTCTGAGCAGTTAGCTAACGTTAGCTCGCGGTTAGCACTTTAGCTCCGAGCTAGCGCGTTAGCTCCGGTTAGCACTTTAGCTCTGACCTAGCACCTTAGCTCCGGTTAGCGCTTTAGCTCTGACCTAGCACGTTAGCTACGGTTAGCACTTTAGCTCCGAGCTAACAGGCTTAAGGTAAGATAATGTTAGCTAGCTTACTACTCTGACTATTTAAAAGGGATAAGTTAACATTAGCAATAACGAATTAGCAATTAAGGATAACAACTAAACCTTGAGCAGAAAGCCGTTTCATTAACCTAGCTAGCATGTGCTTTTCAAGTGTTATGCTAGCTATAGTGGTATTATTAGCTATAGTTATAACTTTATTTTCCATACTGCAACCTTAATAATTTTAAATAGTTAATCTCACTGAACTAATCTTACAAATCACAAATTAGGTTAATGTATGTAAATATTACTTACCTTTTTAAAGCCTTCTTCCATTTGTCTTCTCTTCAAAACCAAGCTGCTGGCTTGTCCATTTAAAATGATGAACTTGAGCGGAAAAATTTGTTAAATGAGGGTTTTAACCCTTAAACGATGAGTGTCGGCTGTTTTGTGTAACTTCAGTAATGGACTGTTTATAACATGCCAGACTTAGGCCAAAGGTACTGAGGCGTAAATCAACCGAGCGCTGATCTGCCGCAGCATAAAGGTGTGGCCCTCTTCCTTCACTCACATTGCTGGGGCACGCCATTAATGCCAGATTTGGCTCTTAATGTAGAGTAAAAACTATACACAGCTGTCCAGCATCTGGCCCAGTTATGGCCCACATGCCTAATATCTATAGGGAAGTCAACTAACACTCGCGTGTTAGCCAAAATCGTCCCAAAACTGTCTGTTATCTGGCTGGGAGATTAATGACATGTCAGACTTGGGCCAAAAGTACTGAGGTGTAAATCAACCAAGCACGAATCTGCAGCAACTTAATTGTGCTGTGGCCCTCTTTCTTCATCCACATTGTTGGGTCACAACATTCATGCCAGAATTGGCCCCTTAAACTAGGATATGAGCCAAAATCATAAACAGCTGTCCAGCATCTGGCCCAGTTGTGGCCCACATGCTAAATGTGTGTCAGGAAGTCAACCAACACCCACAGATGTGAGCCAGAATTGGCTCTGTCTACTCTCCTTTCACGAAGTTCAACTGGATGACCAGCTTTCTAACTTGACCATTACCATGACCATAAAAGACCATCTTAGATAATCTGAAACCAGCTACCGACACAAGCTGGTCTTAATGGGATTTTTCAGCAGGGTAAGAACTATACATCATTCTACATCAACTTAAAAACAAAACTCTTGAGCGACTTGGTCCTGCCTTAAAAAAATGACTTCTGAATTGTAATTAAAGTACTGTCATGTTTCACCTCCCACTGCTACCACCCTTACCTATGATCAAGCAAATACACTCAGCTAGCTTAGAGACTCCCTCATGGTACAGAAGGAACATGTGCTATGATTTCCAATTCACATTGACTTTAAATAGCTTACTGCATCAAAGTATAGTAAATGTTTCAATATTGTCAGCTAATAAACAGTTTTGTTCTATTTTATGACTTTCAGTGCAGAACAGGGTTATTATTGATAAAAACTAAACAATGAATGAAAAAATATACTTATAAACTGTGATTAAAAAATAAAAATCACAGGTTTCAGAACCACTGAACCACATAAATGTCCCTTGAAACAGGAACGAGAACTAAATAGTATTACGGAAAAAAATGTTTTTGTATTTTCAGTGCATGTCTTAGCATAGCTAAGCACAGTCTATTTTTATGCTAATTAGGCATAGCAAAACTCATCATAAGAAAATGGCAGATCCAAATTTCCATGCAATTTATACCTCGATTTCTGACTAAATATTCCCAATAATAGTAAAACCTAAACAAAAAACAAACTAAAACTGTTTTTGGTATACTAAACTAAAATTAAAACTTTAAATGCACTCTATACTGAAACGTAAAATCAAAATTCATTCATTCTTTTATGCATCCCATGTTTAAACTCAGAAATTCGTTGAGATAAAGGCCTAATTTACAATATAGTCGAGCAAAACAATAAGAATAAAAAAATCTAAGAAACTAGGTATTAGTAATGATAATAAGTTGAATAATAAAACAACCAAATTGGTTAAGTAATAGAACCTTAAAAGTAAATTAAACAATTAAAAACAAATGCATCAACTAAAACATGAAAATAAAAACTAAATAAAAAAAACCTAAAAAAGTTTCAAAATGAAGCATTGTCAAAAGCCTCAGGAAGGTGTAGTCAGTGCATACCAATGACATTCATTTGGCTGTGACGGTTCAAAGAAACAGTGTTCCTGGAACAACAAAAGGAAATGGAGCCACATCCTTTTGTTGTTCCTGGAACCATTGTTGTTCCTAGAATGTAATTTCTTCAGTCAAGAACATTGGGTCTCATTCACCAACAATTCTTAAGAAATTTCTTAGAACGCAGTTTTCACAAAGATTCTGTCATTCAGCAATGTTTCCATATCTGGGATTTGGTCTTAGATAAGAACAGAATCTATACACACTCAAGAGCACAAAAGTGTAAACAGTTCTCCAGTTTAAGAACTCGTCATGAATCTGATGTAGACTTTTTCTTAGGACCTTCCTCAAGAACAATTTCAAGAAAAACTTAAAGTTGTCCTTGAAAAAGCTCCTAAGAAAAAGTCTACACATAGTAAATGAGGCCCATTGTCCTAACTAAAGAAATGACGTTTACTCTCCATTTAACCACCCTGCTTATTGGTTGTCGCCTGCTACCCTACTGCCACAAACAGGTAGGGGCCACCACTGGGTGTTATAAACTTATTTCTATTATTTATTTGAAGATGAGAATAGCTGTGGGAGAAAGAATCAGTAGAAATGACGTCATAATAACATTCAAACTAAAAAATGTTAGCAGTCTTAGATAGTCACATTGGCCAGCTTAATCAGTTTCCAGGGTTGAGCAGTAACCAAGCGCTGCGCTGGTAGGGTGAGGAATATTATCAAGGACGTTTCTTATCCTAACCATGGACTTTTTACCCTCCTCCCATCATGCAGGCGTTACAGGAGCCTCCGCTCCCGGACCAGCAAGCTCAGGAAGAGCTTCTTCCTTGAGGCTGTGACCTCCACAATGCCACTTCAACTGCATCTTTGAACTCACTGCACTGTTACTGTAAATTTTGTGTTATTGCAATGTATTTGCACAGTCTATTACAGCACTATTCATATTTGCACAGTCAATCACTGTAATGTTTTTACTCTACATGCTTATCATTTTACACATGCTGCTCTCACGGTACGTACTACCTACATTTGCACTCTCTCCACTCACTCTGTATATATGTATATTATATTTATACTTGCATATCTATATTTATATGCGCTATATTTAAATGCGCTGTTAGGGTGAAATAAGATCCAGTGGTAATGGATGTCCATTATAAGCACATTATATATTCTTTAGTGATTTCATAACTTCAGTTTTGGTCTCGTGACGGGGGAGAGGGGGGCGTGAAAGACTGCAGGTCACGTAGCAACGAGGTTTCACCTGGCTAGTAGCGAACGAAAAAGGAAAAGAGAAAAAAAGACGAACATTTGGAGACGAATGGACTTATTCGCATTTATAAGCAGCGCACTTGGTTTCCTGGTATGTTAAATCTGCAACGAGAGACTGTCAAACACTAAGTAAAAAGTTGCGAAGATGAAGTCGCTTCTCTTTCTAATTTTCCCGTTCCACCTTAAATGGTGCCGCTTTTACATTCGGCGCCTCAGTCAGAATTTAAGGTGGAACGGGAAAGTTCATCAAGAAGCTGGAGAATGAGAAGCGACTTCAGCCTCGTAAAACAGCGGAACACTGAGAGACATTCAACTATTTTTGAGGAAAAGGTTTCTGGCGGAGATGGGAGGAAAGCGGCTATAGTTAAAGCTTAAAGCAGAGCGAAGTAAATCTGCGTTTTCGTTTATATTGTTTAGTCTATACTAGGACATTAACACACACTGAGACATACTGGACAGTAAATGTTGTGGCTCTCAAGGTGGTTTGACTTTGTTGAAAGGTCAAAATGGCTCTTCTTGTCATTTGTTTTGTGACTCCTGATCTAACCTGGCTTTTAATACAGAGGGAGCCGGTCGGATTTCTCGCTCATCCAGTTGTGTTTTTGTTATGTGCCGCCAGAGACTGTCCGGGCACTGCACTTACCCACTTCCAGTTCCACCTTTTGCGTTCTGTCAACATTACGTTATTAATTAAATATTTAGAAAATCGATTTTTGACATTTGTGAATCGATTCAGAATTGTTCACGTCTGCATCGCGATGCATCTAAGAATCGATTTTTTCCCGCACCCCTAGACAGAACTGAGATCTGCAGCGTTTTCCTGAAGATATCAGGTGTTTACCCTGATTTTCCCTACCACCACATTCTACAGCCACAGACTTATCTGATCTGATCTGATCAGGCAGTAAACATTTTATTCTCGTTTGATGCTCTGTAACATTTTACAGTTTGACTGGAAATAAAATCAAACTTTTGAAAACTTTAACCTTTAGTTTTAACTAACAATCTGAAACATAAAAAAATAGAGCGCAGTCTTGTGAATGGCAAATTTGGTTTCATTTTCACCATGGTTTCTTTCTTCAGTAGATTAAGGATGAGTGCAAAATGTTAATATGTGTAAATTATGCATTATTTGCAACTAAAACAATCAGCTTCCTTTTAGTTTTCATGTGAAAAAAAGAATTTGTCATTCATCTGTCCCTAACTGAACGTATGAGGTATTAGATCAGTACCTGAGGGATCATGTGCTGAGACTCCGCAGTCCAGTCTCATCAAAGCAGGGGCAAAAATCATTTTCCCTTGTACACAGTGTTTACGCACCATGTGAATTATTGATACTGGAAAATTGAGATGTAGGTCACACGTGAACAAAATGCTGTTCATGTCCTAAGAGGAGAAAAGAAAGGTGTACAACTAGTTAAAGACCAATCTAACACAAAATGTTAGTTAAAATGGAATCAGAGTACAAAACATTGTTTGACAAAGTTAGATTTATTGCAATATTAGAGAAAAAAAATGATACTGTACTGTACCTCAACAAGTTCAATTGCTGTTTGAACTGCTGTTGTTTTCAGGAAAGTTCCTTCCAGCCTCTTGTACTGGTAGCTGCAAGTATATAGTGGCAGAATTAGAAAATAAGCACATACATGCCACATGCCTCTTAAAACTAAATCTGACTGATTACTTTAATTAAAGATGTTCAGAGATAGAACATATTTACAGAATAAAAAGAAGTCGCACCTTGGTAGATCTGCCTTTTTCAGTGCCTTATGTATGTCAACATCTTCACTGCTGTAATCAATGATGATGACATTGAAGTTTTCATCTCTTGTTACTCTGTACACTTTCTCCATTTGTCTGATGAACTGAATGACCCATCTGCCCTGGTTTTTCACTGTTGGCATACAGATATGAAAATGGATGGATGGAACAAACAACAAATAAACAGTAGCTTAAAAAACTGGCTGCAGTATCCGTATTAAAACAGAAGTGCAAAGCTACTGTACTACACTGTAGACTACCCTTTCTTTAAATTTCTAAAGTCATTTATTTTTCAGCGTCAGGAAAAAAAGTCGAAAACATATATTTACCAGAAAATTACACAAAGCCTCAACAACTAAATATAATATCAAATATCAAACTAAAATGATTAAAAGATAGAAAAATGGGCTTCCTAACAGTCATGCCAGACCTGGCGGACCATCAGAACTAGAGAACTTGCACTAGAACAGGCATGTCAAACGGGGGACCTTCCAGGCCTTTAGCATTTAGAGATTAGCATTTAGCCTCATCTAACTCTCTGTATTCAGTTCATGAAGGCCTTGTCAATTAGCTGATGAGCTGAATCAAGTGTGTTAAATGAGGCTGTGTGCTGAAGTCTGCTGTGTTTTGGCCCACGAGGACTGGAGTCTGACACGTGTGCACTAGAATATTGCACATCTGTGATGTTGAGCAAAGTTTTATGGAGTCGAAGTGAGGTCTTTGGAGGTAGCAGTATAGGCCGACTGTATACAGCAATCATCAGTCAGGCATTGTGGAGGATCAGTGCAAGTTTAGGGATATATAACAACATCTAGAAGCAGAAAATGTAACCAGCTTCTAAGAATGAACTTTAAAAGTGTGGAAAAATATCCCTGCAGATTTCCAAAAACAATGAAAGCTGCATAAGGCCAAGGGTGGACACTCAATACTGAAAAATGTAATGTGATTTAGTTGTTGAAGCCTCTGTGTAACTTTCTGTTAAATATGTTTTCTGGTTTTTTTTTGTTTTTTTTTTTTCCTGAATGAATAACTTGCACTTAATGACCGGGAACTGAATAAATGAAAGGGTAGCCTCTGACTTTTTCACACTATTGTACTTCTAATTCAAACAGATGTTTAAAAAAATCATGCTGTGTTGTCCAGCCATCTGATTTGCAGTGAGCAACTATAAAAACAAAGCTGATTGAAGGCTGTTCCAGTATAACCACCATGCAGGAACCCCAACATACAGTACAGAATTATTAATGGAGTTCAGAAATACAACAAATAAATGCCAAATGTGTGCAAGATCCTAGAGATCTGACCTGGCAGAATGACATTGACTCTGGCTGCTGGGTTCCAGGAAAAGTCTTCTGGGCTACAGAGAGAAACTGGCTCTGGTGATTTTGGACTGTCCTCCTTATTTGTGGTTACATAAAAATAACGAGACAGCAGCATGTTCTGGCCTTGCCCGTCCTCCAGCTCCAGCTCCAGCAGGTAACGACCACCTGCATCACCATCCACCCTCTTCTCCACGTTCACTATATGCTTCAGGACTAATTCACTGCACACAAGGAGAACCAGTTTCAACTGTTTAAATGGTCTGTGTCACATCATAAGAAGTTTGAAAGTGAAAGAGGGTGTAAACTGAAAGGACACAAAACTATGTACCTGGTGTGCTCTGTTAACTGCAGTTTGTTCATGACAGTGTCAACTACAGACATCACGTCTTTTTCACTCAGTACAGCATTTCCAGCCCTCTTGCAAGTACCGGTGACAGCAGTGGGCTGATTTAAGTTGAAGTCCGTGGGATTTACATTGACGAGTCGCTCCCAGTTTGGATCAGGCTTTTCCTCTTGATTTGAGAGTTAGTGTTAGGCACCACAGTGAATTTATAAACAGTTGAAAATGACAAATAAGAGCACTTTATAAGGGCTAACTGATTACACACTTAACCCATAATAAGCATGTTCTAATATTAAAAATTTCTCAATTTATCGAAAGTGCAGTCAAAACTTTCAACTGATATTACATTTATGTTTGCAAATAGAAGATATTTTATGATTAGAAACGGGTGATGGTTGTATGTTCAGAAAAAAAAGCAAGTGTTTGTAATCAGCATCACTAGTCCTTACAGAAACCCTAGGGGTGAAATAAAGAAAATGGTCCCAAATGAGGACAAAGGACAGTATCTGAAGTTGAGTAATGGCCTGAAATCCCTAACTATGTGTTCTAATACCTTATGAAAGGGTGAACATGATTTCATCAAGTAGGACAAGTATAAGTAGGAGGATCTGGTCACTCTCAGTTGTTTTAAGACATTTTTCAAATGGTTTTACACTGTCTGTGATGGATGGTGGGTGGCTGTAGGTCTTGAAGGATTTACCAGTTTACCACAGCCCTTCAGATTCTCAGAAACAAAGTATGCATTTTTCGGCTGCATTTGAAAGATTATCAAAACGGGACAACTTTCACTGATGTGATAGCCAAGAAATGCAGTCTTTCTCAGCTACATCCTTAGCTTTGTGACATGGCTAATGACTGCTGCGAAACAGTGTAGAGACCATACATGTTTGACTTTTTGGTTTAGTTTATGCAGAGAGCCAGACATAGTCATAACATGATTAATGGTGTGCCGGCCATGCATAGTGTTAAACAGCACAGCAATGTTTAATGCAGAAACCTAATGCTAAGATAATGCTAATTTTAGGTAGCATCCTATGGGATGTTTAGTGTTATGTTAGTTCCAAGCTAATAATATTGTATGATCATTTTGTAGCAGCTCTGTATCTTAAACATAGGTATTCAAAGCTTCTTCAATGACATTCAGGTAACATGTTCTTTATATTGGATGTTGACGTTTGAAGAACAAGTTAAGCTTGAAAATAGTACAGAAGAGGGATGCAAAAAGAAGTAAAACAGGAAACTGTGCACTGTATGCAAATATCATACCTTCTCACATGCATAATTTTTTATTATGCAGGAATTATTTTGAACGCCTCCCTTGTGTTCTGCAAAGGCAGCTAGGCCTTCTGGCAATTTAATGGTTATAATGTGGTCACCTGGTGACATTATATGTATGTTTACATTTTTTTCTCTATCATACTGGTAAAGGAACGTTGTTCCAGGAACAACAAAGGAAACCTAAGCAAAGAATACATCTGTCACTGTGGCTGCACCCAGAACTTCATACTACCACACTTAGTAGTATGTCAAAACTCTACATCACCTTTAGCAGCGCTTCCATTAGTGTAGTGCATATAGTGTAGTGGTATGTGGTTTTAGGCACAGCTTTTGGAAGTTTCTTTTCTGGGAATGGCCCACGTGCACCCTGGCTCCACCCACTCAGTTCTGAGTAGTACACCTGGGTGTTTGGTCTCTCTCTTTGCAAAGTCTTCCAGGTATCTCTGTGCAATTCTGAGCCATTTTTCTGGTTTCTTGTTTTTGTGGTATCCCTTCCCTTCACTCCTGGTTTGTGTTTTATAGTTTTTGATCAAGCATCCCCTCTTTTTTTGTCCCTGCCTGCCCGTGTATATGACCTTTGTCTGTGACTTTGACAAAGAGAACTGGAAATCCTACTTGAAGAAAATATGTTCACCTTTATCAAACATAATAGAAAGACAAAGTCATTCTTACAGGAGTGCGAATGAAAGCAAAACCTCATTTTTGTCATTGTACAGTTACACAATAGCTAGTAATAACGAGAACGCTGTAGTTTTTGTATACTCAGTCATGTAAGAAAGATCATTTACCTGCGTCCTCAGTTTTCAGAAACTGGACAAAGCCGCCTCTTGAAAGGTAAACAATGAAACAACATGTCACATAGAAGAATAAAACAGTAAATACATTGCTACAAATATTCACTATACTTTGAGCATAAACTAATTTAAGGAGTGTTTTTATAAGAGGATTTATGATGTAAGATATGAAGTAGCTTAGTGTGAAAGCCTACCCGTCTTTAAATACTTTGTCTTGGTTGTAGAAACACATCTCATCAACGGCTGAATGAGTCTGTCTTGTGTGGTCATTAGGGTACACTCTAGAGTAGTGAACCTTGACAATGAATACACAAAACACAACATAACTGTCTCAGTGACATACTGTGGTACTATAAAATGTTTTCCATTTAATGGTAAATGTCATTATAGGATAAACTCTAAATTCATGCAACAGGAAGTGAAGGAATACTCACATAGTATATACCATGAAATCTTTGCATTTGTGCTCCATCAAATACATTAATGGGCTTGTATTTGCATTGAGGAAAGACGTCTTTCAAATAGGAATCATTCATCAGTGGTACTGGAGAGAGAAGAAAGGGATGAAGTGGAACATGCTGATGATTATGTTGATAACTGAAATAGTGAATGTTTCACTGCATATTGCCATTAATGGACCAAAACCTCATATGTCCGAAATGGTAACTTCACAGGAAAAGGAAGAAATATCCTAAACTTATAATGGAAGGTAATGGAACAAAGTTTTTTTTCACAATAATATTTTAGACCATTTCTTTTGGCCCATTCATTAGGAAAATTGAACACACTATAGTGGGTAGGTATTAAAATATGCAAAAATGTTTAAAAAGTGACAAATACAGAGACCAATTTTTGCACAACAGAGACAATTTACATTTACAGAATTTGGCAGATGCTCTTATCCAGGTAGGCAAAGGTAGTGTTTGGAGTCTTGCCCAAGGACTCTTATTGATATAGTGTAGGGTGCTTGCCCAGGCAGGGGATTAAAGTCTACAGCGTAGAAGGCAGAGGTGATACCCACTACACTATACCAACCAACTGATTTATCTCCTTACCAGCATAAGCAGCATTTAATGCTAAAAGGTATTACCCCAAATTCGAGCTTGGGATAACTTTAAAGAGATCTGGAACACATTGTGCAAGGAACATTTTGTAGCGCTCACTGCTATATGCAAAAGTCACGATGCTTTATTTACCAGCTGTTGTCGGCCACAGCCATGCCGTACATAAGCAGATTTTTTCTTTAAGAGCTTGCTCTCTGACTCAGCTCATGTCTCTCCTCTCTCTGCTCACTCACACATACACACACACCCCTGGGGTAATTCCCAGCTTCACCATCTACAGTATGGGTCCCTAGCAAATTAGCCAAGAGCAATAAAGGCTGGAGAACACACTGCCCAAAACTAGCATGCCAAAACTTTCTTCTTCAATTTTCTTGAACACGCTACAATATTTTCATAATTTTTCCTGATGTCATCAGTAGGTCTTTACATGTAATTTTGTAAGATGTATAAACTAATTACTTTTGAAGATGTGGTCCCGTGGGTCTTCTCTGACCATGTCCACTACAGGGTCACGCTGCGTGTAGATGAGGTCAGGATGCATCTCATGACTGGCTGCCGTTTGGGGGATGTAATCCGTGTCCCCCGCCAGGACAGAGGTTTCATCTGAACAAGTGAAAAAAAGCATTTAATTCAGCACTTCATAGCAGAAGGAGCTTAATGAACACTTCTGCTCATACATCCTGAAACCATTCATTTAAAAACATGACAATGTGTAAGTCAGGATTGTGAGAATTCATGGTAACATCCATTGATCCTGCCAAAAATGTTGTCTTGGCAAGTGTAATTTTCAGAAATCTAGTCTATGTATCTAATATTTCTCATTTTGAGATTGTTGTAAGCATATTGTAAGATTATTTAACTTATTTACGGATTTTTTTACTTGTATTGTGTTCTATGGTGAGATGAGACCAACATAGAGGTTTTTGGCAACAAACACCAGAGGTGGGTTTGGCCTGGACACAAAAATAGCCATACAGAAAAGTATTTCATCCTCACTGTGAAGTGTGGTGGTGGATCTGTGATACTGTGGGGCTGCTTTTCTTCCAGAGTCCCTGGACAATTTATTTGGATGCAAGGTATCACAGATTCCGTCAAGTACCAGCAGAAATAAAAACAAAACCTTACTGCCTCAGCCAGAAAGCTTAGGCCATAGTTTGGATCTTCCAGCAGGATAATTATCCAAAATCATCCCAAAAATAGTTCACTGACCGCAGAATCAAGGTTTTGGCATGGCCATCCCAGTCTCCTGACCTATAACCCATAGAAAACCTGTGAGTTGAAGAGGAGAGTCCACAGTGTGGACCTCAGAATCTGAAGGTTCTGAAGAGGTTCTGTATGGAGAAATGGTTTCAGATCACTTGCCATGTGTTCTCCAGTCTCATTAAGCATTACAGGAGAAGACTCAGAGCTGTTATCTTTGCAAAGGGAGGCTGCACAAAGTATCAAATGAAGGGGTGCCAACAATTGTGGTACACACACAAATTAAACATATATATATATATATATATAAACAATGTTATATTATTTAATTAATGAAGTATATATTTTTCCTGAAAGGAATGATTATTTTTTAATTAAAGATCAAAAGGATAAGCCATAAACAATGTTTTTTACAGCATCTTTTGCTCATGTTTGCAAGGGGTGTCAATATTTGTGGAGGACACTGTATATATGTTAACTAGATTTATGATAATTTCACTTGCCTAGATATGATTTTTTGCAGTGTGAAAAGAGACAGGCCCAGGGCAATTGGTGTGTTTCTATGTATTCGCCTGATCAAAAAGGTGTTAAATCAGTCACAAGTCAATCTTTCAAGACTTCTTTAAACAGGCTCGTTTGGGCCACAGGGGAGGAATTTACAAGCATGTTACTTTACAAGTTTGTGTTGTGTTGTGTTGTGTTGTGTTGTGCTGTGTTGTGCTGTGCTGTGTTGTGTAGTGTATGTAAAGAGGAACATTTTGCCAGTCCTGAAACTTACTGACATAGAGAGACAGATACTCGGAGGTAATAACAGTAAAGATGCTGTTTCTCTGGTTCAGACGCCACTTGAAAAAAAAGTGCAAATTTTTAGTTAAGGGCCTGTACATTTAGGAAAAAAACAGACTTCTGTTGAAGACTGGAATAAAAATGACTGTGTCCCATAGCTTGGGCAATAATGCTTTATTAATATCTAAGTGAAAATAAGGAGACATACTGCTACTTCCACATGGTCTATCCCTTCATTGTGCTGGAGGAGGACTTCAAAGAAATACTTCTTGTGTTTCAACAGCCTGAAAACAAAGAGATGTAATGAATCCATGTAGCCCTACAAATTATTCAAAGTAGAGGACCTTTTTACTAGATCCTCATTTAGGTGCGTATTAGACAATTTTGATCTGGGTCCCATGAAGTGGTTAGTAAAAAAAACAAAAAACTACTGGTAAAAGAAATAAATAAATATATCACTTACTTTACAGGCTTAGATATCTGTGATGCAAATTTGTCATATTCTCCTGGACCTGCCCATTCCACTCCTGTCTGGTATAACAACAAAATTTGAACAACTTAGAAATAGGCATGAGTTATACCTTAACTTTAGCCATTTTCTGAATTACATATAAAGTATAATACTAAAACCTGGGTACAAATTCCACTGACCACACGGATGTAAACATTTGTGTTTGCTTGGTGGCTCATTTCACTAGAATATCTGTATCTTAGAGGAATATTTGTTTTGTTTGTGTTATTTGGTTTGTTAGTGTGTGTTGTGCTGGTCTGAGTGGACCAAACACAGCAGTGCTGCTAGAGTTTTAAACATCTCATTGTCACAGCTGGACTAAGAATAGTCCACCAACCAAAAATATCTAGCCAAATAGCGTCCTGTGACCACTGATGAAGGACTAGAGGATGACCAACACAAACTGTGCAGCAACAGATGAGCTACTGTCTCTGAATTTACATTTTCAAGGTGGACAAAAAAGGTAGGAGTGTCTAATAGAGTGGACAGTGAGTGGATACAGTGTATAAATTCTCCAGCAGCTCTGCTGTGTCTGATCCATTCATACACTAACAAGCCACCACCATGTCAGCACTAGGCACTACGCAAACTGAGCTGAGTTTCTTTTGCACTGACAACAAATAATATTCATAACAAATGAATGACTTAATATCTGTTCTTAATGGAAATTAAATGAACGACAGGTGGTCTCTGATGTTTGCACAGAACTGTAGTTAGGGCAGTAACACTTACTTTTCCAACATATGCCTGAAGTCTGAGGCCTTGGGTTAATTCATTTGGACTTAGCCAGAACTCAGAGTTCTTATCAGAGGAAATCGCAAAACTGTACTCGCCTGGGAAAACAGAAGCAGAAGGGAAAACAACAATGCCACTCTGCAGATGCTTTAAAAGTAAATGGTCATCATGTGTCTTCATTTATATAACATCAGGGTTTTTTTTATTTGTAATTGGTCACAGAAACAGGTTGTGGATCAGCACAGTTATTGTAATATGCACTGTAAAACTAGAAAAAAGTAGAAAAACAAAAGTTCTACAACACAAAATGTCCTAGCTTAGAACCAGGCCTGGGTAATAGAACATGATGCTCCAAAGGATTTTCCAATGTAGTACCCACCACTGATGTTTGGGTGAATATAGCCAAAGATCCTCACTCCATAGTTTGTCCATTTGGGATATATTGCAAGCTTCTTTATTGTGGTCCGGACCTGAGAATATGACACGCATCTGCTTTGGTGAACATGTACAGCATAAAGCGTATGGATCATTCCATGCCAACACTTTATGTGTTATCAATTGTACTCCAGACGTTAAAGGAGCCTGGACTAGAGGAATTTGGGGGTGTTTCAGAGAGGCCTTGGATTGTGATGCAGTCTACCACCAAAAGCTTAACAAATTGCTCCCAGACATGTAATCTTGTTACACGTCTGGAATACTAGACTAGACAGAACTGAGCTTAAATATTAACTGGGTATATTAATATTTAATGTGAAATATTATTCTTGGTGTTGTAATTATATCCTGTTAATATTACAGTTATTCAGTAAGCAGTTAAACTCGGTTTAAGATGCAATGCGGAACCTGCTGGAGCAAACTAGCTGGGGCATAGCTTTTGCATGGTTGCATTAATTAAATGAACTGTTTTTAGGTGAATAGGCATGGAATGATCCATTTATATGAAAATATAATTTGTTTATAATCTCTAATCATCAATATATATAATTCAAAAAGCTATCGTGGATAAATCTGTGGAATTTGTGGGTGTGATCACTAACATGTGGATACAGAGGGTACAGCACATTCTTCCTCAGCTGTAATATGGAAGTTGCACACCAGTCTTCGAACACATGCATGTTCACTCTTCCTCGATACTGGTCACATAATAGAGTATGTTAAAAAAATATTTGCTTTGAAAGTATGTTTGCATATTCACATATTTGCATGCATATGTATTTTAGCACCTCTGGTCTCCAAGGCGGCAGACTCTCTTTATCTCCTTCTTTAAAATCCTGCTTAATGAACTGAATGACAGAGACGGAGAGAAGAAGAGGAATATTATCCATCAAAATGCCATGACAAACTTTAGGAAAAGTAGGGAAAAGTTACAGTTTCCCAGTCCTCTCATTGCAGGCACACCTGAGTCAGATAATCAAGGCCCGTAGGACACTATTTACCTGACTCAGGTGCGCTGGGAGCTAGAATAGAATAAAATCAGAACAGAACTGGTTCAGGGGTCACCAAGGCCTCACCTGTAAGTCGGTAGATGTCACCTCATCGTCGAAAAACTGGTGTTGCTGGTGACTTTCTTTGAGCCCTGAAACACAAGAGAACACATTAGATGGATGTTGTAGGGGAAGTGTAGCTTTGCTAACTGCTAACTTTCCCCAGCAATGTGGATTTGGGCAAGCAAACTGCAAACAAAGCAGCTCACTTCAAAGCTTCATTATGTTATCCAAACGCAGACAGTCCTTGTGCACACCAATGGACCATTAAAGTTCCTTTGCTTTTATTTGCCTAGAATTGTTCTCTTTCTGATTCTTAGGCATGTGTGACTGTAGAAGTTGAGCGTCTACAAGTTATTTTAGCTCTTCTAAAGCTGTACTCTGTCTGTGGCTTGCCTAGAGCTGTTCATCAACATTCCTGTGATGTTTGCAATGAGCTGTAGAAAGATTTATAAGAGAGTCGAGGAACATAATGGACTGATCCTTGGTGAGACACTCTTTCCACATGACAAAGTGTAGACTATGCACATTTGTCACAACAGGGAGGATTTACTTCAGTGGGACACTGGACTAGGAAATTAGGAAGAGGTATGCGGTGGGCAAGTGTTTAAGAAGCCGGTAGCGAGGCTTGTGTCAATCAACGAAGCTTGTTGGGATACATTTGTTTCCGAAAGGCTAAGTGATTCCTTAGGAGGAACAGGCTGGGAGCTGACACAGGTGGTAAAGCTGGGGCTGACCTGATTCTTCAGAAAGATAAATTGCAGTTAAATCATTGTTTTTATACAGTCAAATGCAAAAGTTGTGCACGTGGTTTTGTTGGTTTTCTAAATGAAAATAGGTTAACACATCCTCTGTAAAACACTTTTATGCACAATTCCAGTTTATTGGCTGAATTTATCATATTTAGAAAAGAAATGAAACATAGAATGTGGCTTATGCGAAAGTCAAATATGTTAAACTCAACAAAAAATGAGAAATTGTGCACTGAAATTTACAGAAAAATGTCATAGTGTGTTCTCTGTAGAGGATGTGTTAACTTATTTTCACTTAGAAAATCATCGAAACCAATTCTACATCAACTGTAGACCTAGTATTTGGGGAAGACTGAGGGTTTTTATTGTAATTGTATTCAAATTATATTCAAATGTATGTTTACAGTACCGTTTAAAGCTCTGTTTAATGCTTTTCATTCTTTCTGTATTTGCAGTACCTGTGCCATTTTTAGTTCACTCAGAGTCTTTTTGGAATAAAGAAGTGCCACTAGGTAAACAGAAAGCCTACTGTGTAAGATTTGTTAGTTAACCTCACTTAAAATATTTTTTTGGAAATTAAATTGCCATTAGATTTATTTGGACGCTTCCAAGCCAGGGTGCTTTACGTTATTTATTTATTTATTTATTTACTTATTTACTTATTTACTTATGTGTTAAAATAATGCTATCAACATGGCCCATGCAGCACATGAATATGTATCACTGTGTCACTGCTGTCACAAAAAAAAAAATTTATCTCTGACATGGTCACCTTATAGAAGGAGGAACTAATAGAAGAACAACATATTTTGTGTTTTTTAATCCACCCGTGTTAACAAATTTGCATGCCCTGTTAAGTTGAACATATTTTGAGTTACCTACATATCTACTATATAACTAACCTATTTTAAAAGTGAGTATTAATGTGCTCCTATTACACCACTAGAGATGAAACGATATTAAAATTTCATATCACGATTATCATGACCAAAATTATCACGATTATCGGTATTATCGCGATATTGTTCAAATGTTTTGAAAAGTAAAATAAATAAAAAACTAAATACTGACACAAACAAACTCGTTTCACCAACTTTTATATTAACACAAATAGAATTGGCAGCAATATGCACTTTTTGTTTGCATAAACATTAAAAAATGAGGTCAATACATTTTTAGTATTACTTTTGTATTACTTACAATACTTGTAATACTCTGTAAACAAAAAAACAGCAAATGTATTATTATTACAGTTATTATTATTATTATTACTGTTATTCTTCTTCTTCTTCTTCTTCTTCTTATTATTATTATTATTATTATTATTATTATTAATATTATTATTAATTACAATAACTAAGGATTTCCCTGCATAGAGAATTAAATCTCGACCAACTCTGAGGTGGGTCTTAATGGAAAATTACTACTTCTAAGAAGTGCTGCACTCGGGGGATTTCTGTCCGAACTGCAACTGCAGCATTATTGTGCCGTTGTGGCGCTGAACCCCTGATCAATACAGTGCACCAGGAAAAACAGCCAAAATCACAGAGGAACTGCGTGACCGCGCTGTGAGCTGTAGACAGTGTAGAACTCATACAGCGTGTCTTCACCTGTGGAGCTGCTTCTCTAAAAGCATTTAAAAACTAAAACATAACTTAAAATGAATGCGCATCTGTGCTGTGACAGAAACACTCCTAAAGTTTAATCTCCGAAACACAGCGTTTACTCGCGCAAGGTCCCGTCTCAAAGCACACTATCTTCCCTATGTAGTGCACTTCGTGGATCATGAAATAGCAAATCCTTCACCCAAAGAGTGCAGGAAACGTTCGACTAAGTCATCTATAATCAACATTAACAACAGGCTACAAATTCCCTATTTAAAACTCAGCTGCTTGTTAATGATGATCGTGCTTGTTTGAACAGTAGCGCACTATGTAGGGGACATTGAGTGATTTGAGACGGTGTTATTCTCAGACAGTAAACACTGCAAGCGAGGCGAGAAAGGGGAGCTGTGCAGATTGAACCTCTGCAGCGCCTCGTTCAGGAGCTCGTGTGACTGTTAACTCAGAGCTCATTTTGGAGACTCTGCTCCACAGAAATGTGTTAAAAGCTTTTGTTTCGATTCACAGTTGATTCACCGATTGTTTTTCTTTTTTTCTTTTTTTTGACGCTAAAAGCTTCATTTTATATGATTAACAAACCATAAGCGTAAGTTAAACCACACAAACCATGACATTTCTTCTATTTCGAAGTCCCCACAGACTTCTACATTAAAGTTAACCTTGCATTCTCTAAAAAGTAGCGGGTGGGGGTCGCAAAATGACTCGTAAGGTTTGATGTGTTGCCCCCATTCCCCGCATTTTTCTTTCGGCCTGTTCTGCAGACAGGGTGGTCATCTTCAATTAACTTTCCTTCTGCATCCTTATAAAACCCAAAATATGACCGAACGTCAGACTTGGTCTTCTTAGAAGGCTGAAATATCTCCGAATCTCGAGTTTTTCACACCGCGGTAATCGACCGCGGTTTTAACGATACTTTAAAGTTCAAACGGTACTACTAACCGTCATTAATTTTACCGCGGTTTACCAAACCGGTAACCGTTTCATCTCTATACACCACCATTCAAAAGTTTGAGAAGAATATGTCAGTAATATGAAACCAATCTGGCTGCAGATAAATGTATACTTTTTTTTTCTAATATTCTCTAATATACATCCTGTGCATTTTTACAGGTTTCAAATAATTGGTAGAACACTTGTATTTAAACTGTAATTAAAAATAAAGAGATGTTGAATGTGTCCAGAATGATGAACCGAGCTGTAGATAATTGCAACATGACTGAGAAAGCTGTATAAAATTATGTTATAATAAAATCAACAGCAACAATCCATTGTATTTTAAAACTGGAGATCAAGGAAGATAACTTAATATAAGATCATTATCAGTATGTTATTTATCATATCAACTTTACAATATTCTATATATGATAAAAAAGCATCTAAACTATTATTAGCATCTAGTTTGTAATATTTATATCCAAGCTGAATGTATCGTTATTACTGTCACGACCCTCTTTGGCTCTGAACTCTTGTTGGACTCCATCTCCCAGAAACCCTTGGGAGATCACGTGACTCCAGTCTCACTCCCGCGCTCCAACCAGCGCTCCAGTTCCTCAGAGTATTGTTCTGTATCACCTGTTCCTCTCTGATTAGTTTAGCGTAAAGCCTGGGCTTGTAGGCAGTTTCACTGTGAGGTGTTGCTACTTTCCATAGAGCTACTGTTACTTATGACTGTTCCTGTTTTGCCCTGTTTGCTGATCTGCCTTTTGCCTGATCCCTTTTGGATTCTTTGCCTGGTAATGTTTCTGTTTGTGTGTTTTGCCCTTTCTGGATTTGACCGCTGCCTGTGACCTGACAGCGTCTGCGTCATTCTGTCGTGTTACAATTACTACTTCATAATAACATACATTGTTAATATGGAGTAATTCTAAATAAAATATGCCATAACTTTTTTTCATTTATACCAAACTATATGTTCTCATTTGTACCCTTTTTTCTTTATTATTCCTCCTCAAAGCAGTTTTTATCCTCACACGTTTTTCTCGTCTGTTAGTATGTCTGTCATTTAATTCGTCTAATTCGGTTTAGACCAATATCTGGACAATCGTCTAGATGTTTGGTTCTTAACTCTAGTCCTTTGAAGTGAAGGGGCACAGCAAGACTAGAGGTAAGAACCTGTGATGTAAACGCTGGCTCTCAGTTCTCTGTTGAGCTTTCTCTTTTTAAGTTTAATGACTTTAGTATTAGGCTTGATATCAGGATGAGGATGATCTAATTCATGTAAATCTATGACACTACAACCTATAGAACAAATAATTGAAGGAAAGTAGTTTAATCGAAGTAATGACTGCAGTAAAGCATTCTCTATAGTAAAGCTGATGGCACAGTGTGGGTAAATTTGACCACTGTCGTGGTAGACTGTCATGCAGACGTCATGCACAAGTGTTTTATTGTCAGGTTATATGAGTAACAATCAACATCAAACAAAACAAAAAACAGCTAAAAAGCAAAAGTATGTAACTATGAGTATATTCAACATTTTAAAACTTCAACATTTAAATCTTAAATCTCTTGGCCTTAACATGGATGCTGGGTGATCTGCGTAAATAGGGTATACTGTATCTCAGAGACGTCTTGTGATACGATCACCCAAACCACCTTCGGAGGTGGTCAGGGACGCATATGATCACATAACATTAATAGTGTGAAGGCTAAAGAGTCTCGATGCGCCCTCAACAGTGTAAAAGGACCACCTTAAAGTAGCTGTGTAGCTTCATCTTTCGTCTCCTCTACCATTTGTTTACAAGTCGCGGTAGCAGTACATAAGGTCTAAATGTTTGTAACAGCCCTTGCATTTTTACGAAAAATGGTACATTTTTGTCTGACAACAAATGCAGCGAGAGACTAAGCGTGGGTGGTACTTTTCCTCCAGTTACAAAATCCAGTCATTGGAGATGCATTTGAGACACACAGAACTGCCACATGTAATTGGCTACACATCTACACAGTCTACACAATCAGCTGCCCACTTACAATCAGATCACTCAAGACAAATGTTAATACCAAATGTGAGCAGGGCCCTGGTGACTTCCTGAAATATTAAATTGAAAGAAACTCCCCACTATTGTCTAAATATTCTGTTAGTCTTTTTCAGCATCAGTGATTTTGAATTGTGACATATTAAAACAGCAAATTTGAAAATCAGCATTGAATCATTGGACTAGATAGTGGTGCATGCCAGTCAGGGTGGAACTACCCATTTCTTCAGATGTATGCAAATCTCAGTTTAGCACCTGCATCATTCAAGTTGTGCAGGATTGTGTGATTAAATGGAATGTCACTAGCTTACGTTTGACTGATTACAGCTAAGTAGATTTTAAAATGCCGACTGTAATGAATTGGCTTCATATTGTGATTATGTAGCCATCTGATGACAGCTAGACCAATATATATATATATATATATATATATATATATATATATATATATATATATATATATATATATATAGCTGCTGTTGGAACAAAACCTTATATCTCAATTTTTGTTGTTTTTCAATTTTTGACATAATTTCAAAATGTCTGTTGCCCTTTATATTGTGGTGAAATTTCATGATGAATCAACCAAAATAAATGGCCCAGAATTACTTGAAAAAAAATCTGGTTCTATTGACTTACATTAAAAGTAAAGTATATTTTTTCCTTCTCCTGTAAAGTTGACATATATATATACATACACACATATACAACCACCATTCTACCATTTCCTCCACACTAAAACACTTGCCAAACCTGCCCTGGCAACCTGCAAATCCTACCATGACTGCCATAATTTGATGTTGGGTTGCGTCTGGGGTGGGCAATTATATTTTTTGGTAGGGAATTGGCCACACCTGCCACTCCTTTTAAACCTTGCCTTTTAAACAGCCCTATAATTCTAAAAGATTGACACTGAGCAGGAAGTACTCCACTTTATCAAGTTCAGCTCACTCTTAAATTAAAAACTTTTAAACTCTTAAAGGTTGAATTAAATAGACTGCTTTGTAAAGTAATACATAAATGGCTTCGATAAGGCTATAACCACCCGTCTGAGGACTCTAACAGTTTAATTCCTATTTGCCATTCTGTTAGCTTTCACAGCTGAACTGGTAAACCTCAACACAAAACGCTATCACAGTGAAAATAACTAAACAATGTAAAATGCATCTGAACTTTTAACATGAGTATGTTTTTCCCAAGATAATTGTATCTATAAATTAGAAGAAAAGACTTAATAAACAGATTATAATAACTAGATCTTTGCATAAGTAAGTTTAACAAATTAATAAACAAAAATGTTATTAAACTGATTATTTTTCAAATATTTACACACCATAATTACATTAGTTTTACACCTCTTGCTTTTGTAGGAGACCATCAATCTAGATCCTTACTGAAACCTCAAAGACACCTGAAATCAACTTCTGTCCTTATGCAAATTTTACAGTGCACTTCCTGGTGAAATCTTGAGTGCAGTCCCCATGACTGTGACACTGCACTAATGATAAAATCTCACCGTTGTTGGTTTTAATACTGTCTCCCCTGTTAACATTAACAAATGTATGTAAATGACAAGCAGAGTCAGTTGTGTGCTTTAGTAAAATGCAGTGGCAAAAGCAAGTTACCATGTGTTATTGTGGTACAACTATGTTCCCTGACTAAAGGTACTAAAATGTACACTTAAAGATACCGCCCCAGTGACAAGAGGGGTACTGTCCCAGTGACAGTTTCATACCTTTTTCTGAGAGTGTACACCCCACTTGTGGTTGCCTAAAGAACCATGGAACCATATTTGAACAGAAGAAGAACCTTTTAAAGGTTTAAAAAAACTTTCACATACTTCACCAAAAGTTTCTAGACCAACTTAGGTGTTCTTCCTAAAACTTCTGCATTATGGGGAGGTTTTTAAACTTCTACAGTAGGTCAACGTAGAAAAAGGTTCTTTGGGGAATCAAAAGTGGATCTTTTATGGAATTGCACATCTTTAAGAGTGTACATAAATAAATAAAAGAAAATCAGTTTCAACATTTGACATGTTGTACTGTTTTCAATTAAACATGGGATTAAATTATTTGCACATCATTGCCGTCTGCTTTCATTGACATTTTGCACAGCATCCCAACTTTTTGGGGAAACAGTGTTGTGTATATATGTATATGAACCGGTACTTGCCATACCAGCTGTCATGCCTCCCTCTAACGCTGCTGCTTCTTAGACTCTCTGAACTTCAATTCTTAGAATTCAGAGAAGGATCACATGACTCTCAGGGACCCTCAGGCATCAGACTACCCTAGATCTGCTTTACCGATTACTGATTCCCCTCACCTGGTCTAGCCCTATATATGTTGTTTGTTTGTCCTAACTTCCTAACTTCCTCTGTTCTCCTAAACCTTTTGTACTGTTTTGTCTTTTCTGGTTTCCTTTTTTTTTTTATTCACTCTCTCTTGGTTGCGACCTTCGCCCGACTAGTTTGGGTCTCCCTTTTTTCATTAAAACCTCAAAATTGGTTTATATCCATGAGCGTCTAACTTCCTCACAAGGCGGAAAATGCTAACTTGGGCTTCAGCCTCTTTGAATTCAATCATTTCACCAAAACTCAGACTTGAAATGTCGTACAGGGGGATACAGTGAGATATCATAACACCCACACCCTCAGAAAAAAGAGTGTAAAACTGTCACTGGGGCAGTATCCCCCTTGTCACTGGGGTGGTACCCTCAAGGGTACATCTCAGTACCTTTGGTCGGGGAACATAACTGTACCATAATCCACTGAAATGATATTTTCTAAGTTGTATTGACTCCACACACCCCGTCTCATCTCCAGGCTTTTTATTTTATCATTCTGTTTTAAACATCTGGTTATGAAAAGGTATAAATGTGTAATTTTCACCTGGTAAAACTTATTTAAGATACACAACCAGACCTTAAAAGCACTGTTGTACCTTTGAGGGTACATGTACATTGTTTGTATGCCGATGAATGAAAAATGTACCTGCACAGAACAGTGCACAGTTATCATGAATATGAAGTTCACACAGTCACAAATGAATAAAAAGGAAGTACTCACCATTGTTTACGAAGTCATTTCGCTCCATATGATTGCCAAAGAAAGCCAAATAGACGACGAGGATCAGCACACTCAAAGCCAGAAACAGTACATAATTTTTCAACTTTCTGAAGCTGAAAATCTCTGAAAGCTCTGATAAAAAATACTTCATGTTTTTTTCTGAGTTGTCCTCAGCACAGGAATACTGCTGTCACCTTCTCAGCACTGTCATTTGGAAAGTCTCTCGACTGTGGGCACAGTCAATGCACGCAAGAGACATGCAAAGCCTGCTGGACAACATGTGTGGTTGTAGGCGTGTACAAAAGGAGGCAGATAAAATCTCATCACTGGATGAATCTGCTGCCATAGCTACCCTTGTACACTGAAATGCTATGAGCTGAGTTTAAAAAATGTTTTTTTTAAGCATTTTTAAAATTGAATGTTTCAAGTTTTTTTGTCAACAGTTAGGACTTTTTATATCATAATGTCATCTGCATTGAGATTTGATGGCCACCTTCAACCAATCCAATCAACCACTTCATACTGGTATGATTGTCCTTTTTGTTATTTAATTATAACTTTATTCTTAACATTTTACAGGTTTATCCATTAAGAAATTGTAGCTCAATCTGGACACATCTAAAATATTTTTATCCTACTCAGTACTAATCTATGAAGTTTTAAAGTAGTAAAGAAAAAAAGTTTTATTTTATTGAAAACAGTGATGCCAAATCTTTGAATAGTAGTATTTATTTGAAAACAGTTTTAGGACCAGGCAAAACATATTCTCCTCAGTTTTCAAACTGGTTAGGTCAGTAGTACTAAGCTCTCTCATTACAGATGCCCATGGACAAGTACTTTGTAACTAGCCTTGATGCTGACTCATTTGTTGACTTTCATTTACAAAGTTAAAAAAAGTCCATGTACATCCATTGAACCCAAACACGAAGGCCACTTGCCTCATACGCTGTTGTTCCTCCTTGTGCCTCCAAAACAGCTCCAACCTGTCGAGGCATGGACTCCACATGGATATCCTGCCTGGTGGCTTTTGCCTATGTAAGCTGAAAGGTGGAGCCACCATTTGTCTGACTGGTTGTTACAGCATTCCACAGTTGCTAGACTAGACTGATATCAGGGAAACTTGTAGGCCAGGACAACATCTCAAACTTATCATGTTAATCAAACCACTCCTGAAGAATGTGATTGACATCCACATTAAAGAATGCCTGCACTGCAAAAACAATTAGCTAAAATACAAGAAATAAACACTGTATTTGAACAGTAAATGACTTCATCCTAGTCTGTCCATGCAGCAAGATAATTTTACCTGAGAAGAAATTTTTAAGTTCCAGTGTAGAAGTAAGTAGGCTCTGATAATTGTGCAAAAGGTTTGAAATAAGCAGAAAATGTCAGTTTTTAGATTTATAAAAAAAAATAAATAAATTACTTCAGATCAAACTTGCTACAGCACAGTAATAAGTACAACGCCAATTCCAAAAAAGTTGGGATGCCATGTAAAATGTAAATAAAAACATAGTGCAATAATTTGCAAATCTCATGAGCCCATATTTTATTCACAATAGAACATAGAACACATATCAGATGTTGAAAGTGAGACATTTTACCATTTCATGAAAAACATAAACTCATTTAGAACTTGATGGCAGCAACGCATCTCAAAAAAGTTGGAACAGGGGCAACAAAAGGCTGGAAAAGTAAGTGGTGCTAATAAAAAAAAACAGTTGGAGAAGCAATTTGCAACTAATTCTCATGACTGGGTATAAAAAAGTATTTTAGAGAGGCAGAGTCTCTCAGAAGCAAAGATGGGCAGAGGTTCACCAATCTGCAAAACTGTGTCTAAAAATTATGGAACAATTTAAGAAAAATGTTCCTCTATGTAAAATTGCAAAGACTTTGGATATCCCACCATTTACCGTACATAATATCATCAAAAGATTCAGAGAATCTGGAGAAATCCCTGTACGCAAGGGACAAGGCCAACGGTCAATACAGCATACATCTTAACACAGGAAGCTGATTTCACTAAAATCGTCCCATTGGAATTATATCTGTCTGACATTTTTGTCATAACTGAGTTATTCACACATTCTCATTCTTTGACATTTCTAATTTAGTTCTATAAGGTTGAACTGTGGAATTGTGGAATTCATCAACATTTCCTGTATGCAATATAATCAACACTCCATGTGCAGTATTTTTAAAATATCTCTGCAGTATAAAGATTTTTTGCTTTTCTATTCTTAATGTTTATATTGTTAACTCCTCACCATCCCATGTGTAATATAAATCAATACCTCATGTGAAATTTAGGCAAAATATCCTTACAGTGTAAATATCTTAGCTTTTATTTATTTATAATCCTTTATATTATTAATTTTTGTGAAGGATAGAGTTTATTTTTGTAGCTTATTTTTTTACTTTATTATATATATTGTATTACTAGTACTATAAATATTGCCTATAAAGTAACAAGTAAGAAACTGTAAAAACCTTGTTAAGTAATTAACAAGGTTAATTACTTGCTTGTTAATTCTCTTCTTGTTACTTCTTTTCTTTTTCTTGAGTGCCTTGCTCTCCCTTCGCTGCTGTAACACTGAGAATTTCCCCATTGTGGGACTAATAAAGGATTATTTTATCTCTTATCTTATCTTCTATTTGAGTGCCATTCAGCACTCCGAATAAATAAAAGAGGACTAATCAGGTTCTGCTGCTTTGTCATGTCGCCGCAATGCTCTGTGACTGTGGGAAAGGTTATAAAACTATGAACATGAAAACATGTTGCTGAAGCTCTGCCTGTCATATTGCAGTTCTTTGAAAAGTATTGTGTTAAATTTGATAAATGTTACGTCTTAAAGGAAATAAAATAGTGAACATTTGAATTGATGGAGTCTTAATTACAACTTAAACATCAATTTCATTTAATCATTCATCTTTTTTTTCTTTTTTCTCCAAAAATAAGACATTTTGATGCATTAGAGTCACATTTTTGATATAAAACAAAACCTTATACTGCCTTTATACTGACCTGCTACACTTACTTGCTGGGACAGTTCAGTACAGTAGCTGATTGCTGTCTAACCTAAAGGAAACTTAAACTAATGGTTCCTACCTAAAACTGAACTCTGCACTGGACAAAATATTTAGCACTGACCTTTACACTTAATATGTAATGCTTTTTTGAATAAGAGAAAGATGATTTGTCATAAAACAAGAAATAAATGTCATGAAAAATAAATAATAAAAATAAGTGTCATAGAAATGTCATAGAAAGTATTACATTTATTTTTCTGATACATGTAAACACTCTATTACAGCACTAATTCTATGATTTGAAATAAATGACAAGTAAACTGTTTGTGTTCCTTGGAAATCATTGTTTCTTTTCATGATTTCCCTGACAGAACCTTATAATTCCAAGCAGAATATGAGTTCTTAGGATTAGAAGAATCTACATTTGACCTGTTCCAAAACAACTCATTTACAAATTTGATTGATTTTTGCTAATGTACATTTAGAATACATTTAGGGTGATTTTCGGGTCATTTTCATGTATGAAAGAGTTCCACGTATCAGTTTTGCTGTTTGAAATACACAAAATCTTTGAATCTCAATAACTCAACACCGTTCAGAACGCAGATAGCACCTTTAATTCTAAGGAGACAAAATCACCACCAGGACTGCAAGTTCAATTTCTGTCAACATTTATTGACAACTGAACAGAGAGACAGAAAGTGAGAGACCAAGACTAAGAGAGAAATGACTTTGGATCACTGAGAGACTAAAAAAGGGTGTACCAGTATCTTGATTGTAACCTGATACCCGGGTCTACATGAGTCAGGCAGTAATCGGATTTCTGCTTTGCAACCAATCAACAAACTCACAGAAGACGTAAGTGACGTAAACATAATGTAAAACTCAAACTTCACGCTGCATTTTTTTTAATATCGCAGCACGAACTTGACCTGAAAATATGAACATACATCATCTAGAAGATGAAGGATATTTAAAGTTTTTATTTCGTTAAAAAAGTAGTTGGTTTTAGCATCGCTCCAAAGGGGTTTTGCTGCCACCACACAGCAACAATGCTGGCTTATTTCCAGTCTGTTTTCACACATGCGCAGACCAAGAAATCCGAAAGTAATCTGAGTAAGAGTATGCATGCACTGAGAAATCTGATTACTGAGCTAAAATTCAGCTCTCTATATGCTCTATATACGCGCTCATTGTAGGAAAGCAAGTGTTCTGTTATGGTCACATTTCCCAGCCAACATGGTGGACTTGGGCCAGCTCCATTTTAGACTCTGGGACTCGGCATTCAGTCGGTCTTGGTGCAACCTATATGGGCCGAGTACGGGCCGAGCGTGATTGAAGATGTTCCGGAAAATCGAGCATCGGCCAAGTTCCATTTCAGGAATGAGTGCTGTTTTTTTTTTTTGTCTGGGCCAAGTGAGGCGTCTTTAAAGAGTGACTACACCCCCTACTTTCAGCTCACTCCACCCCTAGCTCAACTTTGAAAAATGCTCAAACATGGGAGGGAGCACTGCAGTTAGGCGGAGCACTGCAGTGATGTTCGGGTTTGGAAGTGGGGCTGGGAGGGAATCTGGGTGGGCTGGGCTGCTGTGTTTTTATAGCTAGCTGATGTTAGCTACCAGAAAATCTGGAGAGTGACAAAATCAAATAGCACTTTTGTAGCTGAGAGGTCTTACGAGGTTGACGATTTTTCTTCACCACCATTCCTATCTTCGATGAGGGAAGGTTTTTCTGTTTAGCCTAATCATTTTGAGGCTCAAGCTGCCAAAGAGTTAGCACCAGAAAATGATCAGCAGTGAGCAGGAGAGGCGTCAGAATGGTAGGAAATTCCCAAAAACCGTGACAGCTAGTTTCTAATGATCTGCTCTGCAGGATACACTTTCAGTAAAACAAAGTCCTGATGGCTTAGATGTATTGAATTTGAAACATATAAAGTGGATTTCTCTAAACATTGTCTAAGTTTTATTAATACAGTATATTTGATATCAAGCTATGCCAGACTTCTTGTGAACACTGTACAAAGCTCTTAATTTGGGTGGTATAAATATACTTGATAAAAAATGTCATAATAAACATACATACATACATCTTCTAAACCGCTTATCCTTCTGGGTCGCGGTGGGGTGCTGGAGCCTATCCCAGCTGTCATTGGGCAGAAGGCAGGATACACCCTGGACAGGTCGCCAGTCCATCACAGTGCAGACAGACAGACAGACATACACAGTCACACCTAGG